CCCCAAAACCCCAAAACCCCAAAACCCCAAAACCCCAAAACCCCAAAACCCCTGAAAATATGAAATTGGTTGAGCAGAGTTAAAACAATATTTATTCTTTTCTGGTCTACTTCTGAAGATTTCTTAACCTTGCCATTAAATCTTCATCATCTGAATCATCGCTCTTGTCGTCCTTTGGAATTTTCTTTTCTACTACTGGTGGATCAGGAAGTTTCTTCTCGCTATATCCATATTTTGGCAGGTTAAGCTCATCTGCAGAGGGAGGCAATGAGTAGCCACCTCCTGGTGCAGAAGGCATAGGAGCTGGGGCTGGTGTAGGGATTCCTGTAGCTGGGGGAGGCATACCTCCTCCATACCCACCTGGTCCTTGGGAGTAGTAAACAGGTGCTGGTGCATAACCACCGGGAGGAGGACCATAACCTCCTGGAGCTGGTGGAGGAGCGTACCCTCCTGGAGCTGCAGGTTGATATGAAGGAACTGGAGGAGCATCACCATTTGGATTATAACTTACATCCTCTTCTGCTGAATATGGGTAGTCAAGTTTGTTTTTGTATCAGTATTCTCTCAGTGTCTTTTTCCATTCCTCCTTAAGAATACATTGAGTATCAGTCTCTTGGCATAACTCTATCAACTTCAAGTAAGACTCTCCTTTTTCTCATTTTCTGTATGATACATTATCGCGTACAATTTCATTATGACAAGTTCCGTTCATCGCTTCCTTATATTCAACTTTTGGCATCAGATCCTTCAGGATGTCAGATAATTTCTCTAACTCCTTTATATCAAGTCTATGTCCAGCGTACACAATAGCATTAGCGTTAGGCATGAGGTCATCAGTAATGCCAAAGCTTTCGACTTCGGCGACTCTGCCCTTCATCTGATCGCACATAGTACAAAGAGCATCATAGACCTTAAGCTTATTTTCTTCGTTGATATAGTTATCTATATAAATGAGTGCTGAGGCCATGTCTCCGTTCTTGACAAAGTCAGTGATCTTGTCCCTGACTCTGTAGAGCTCATTGACCTTCTTTCCCCTCCTGATTGTCATCCTAGAGTTAGCTTCAGTCAGAAGAGTTTTGTACTTGATTTTGTCAAAACCTTTATTTCCCATCTTGGTATTTTGGTAAATTATTATATGAACTTTGATGAACGGGGTTTTGGGGTTTTGGGGTTTTGGGGTTTTGGGGTTTTGGGGTTTTGGGG